ACTTGTGTGACTTCCCTCATATTTACTGGGGTTTGAATGAGACTGGCTTTGACCGGCCGTCGACGAGGTCATGACCTGGGGCTGGTGGCGCCAGATCTCGAGATAGAGTTCCTCGAGGTTCACGAGGCGGCTACACTGCTCGAGCGGCGTGCCGAGGCCGTTGACGCCGGCACGGCTAAATCCTGCACTGGCTGGATCGAAGTCTTTTTGCGAGGTCGGCTTGCGAGGGCGTGAGCGCATCCAGATTGTCCTCTGCCTTGTTCACGAACGTCAAGTCGGCGATCGACGTGTTCACTTGAAGGCGCCCTCGCTTGGCCACGGGGATTTTGACGGCGTAGAGCCTCTGGGCAAGTCGAGTGATCGCGTCGAGTCGGCGCTCAGCGCCTGAGACGAGGTCCGTGTAGGCAAGCTGGACGCAGACCTCGTCCACAATCTCCGTTAGTGCGACACTATTCATCGCCTGCCATCGTCTTCGCGAGTCTACAAAGTGCCCGTGGAGGTCGAGGGAACGCGCGTTCGGGGCGGGCTCGCGCCAGACGAAGAGGATGGCGACGTGTAGCCGGAGGCGCTTCGCCACGGCGAGCCAAATTGGCAGCGTGATCGAGAATCGTGGGTCCTTGAGCGCCCACCAGGCCCCTGGGGCGCACGAGTCCCAGCCTAGGTCCAGAAACGCGGCCAGGGCATCGATGGCTCTATCGACGAGATCTCGCCGCGTGCGTGTCCCCGGAGAGAGAGGTCGCGGCAGCTCGTCCCAAGTGAGTCCGTCCACGTCGTAGATACCTTTGTTCACACGTTTCACTGACATTAATTCGTTGATGCCGTCGGGATGGTTCTGGTCGGACCTGCTCTGTTCCACGTTGCCGAGGTGCGCACCAAGGCGTCCGAGGATGCTCGTGGCGATCGATGTCCCCGACCGAGAGACGCCGACGACGATGACGCCCGGCGGTCTACATGTCTTCTTTTCTGTCCCATTTGCAGGCTTCACGATGACCAGCTGTCCGTCGGCTCCGAGTTCGCACCTGACCGCCCCCTTGTAATTGTGGACGTGGACGACGGCGCAGGAGTCGCATGCCGTGCGGCAATTGAGCCGTTCGGGGAGCTCGTAGAGTAGGTTGTGATCTGCGAGCGTAAAATCCCACAGCACCTTGCGGAGCGAGACTTGATCGTGGCCATCCGGCGAAAGATTTTTGCTGAACTCCCTCGACCACGCTTGCGCCAATTCAGTCCCACTCGCGCCATGTACGAGAAGCACCCCACCGTTGCGTTCGCAGAACGTGTTAGGGATTCCGGCAATCTCGTGGCCTTTTGGGATGCAGTTCTTTGCGCGGGCGAGGGCCACGGACGCGTTCGCCGAGCGCATCGCTCGGAACACGGCGAGAAACTCGGCTTGCGCGTGGGGATGAATATGCACGTCGTTGTCCAAGTAGATGAGCCCGTTGCTCGCGTGGATACGGGCATACTTCTCGATGGCCCGGACTTTGAAGGAGCGAGCGGCGCGCAGCAACTCAGGACACGGCCTGACGCCAATCTTGTCCTCGCACGGTCCGTCCCGTGAGCCGTGAATCGCCGTCCTACTCAGCGTTGCGAGGTCGATGCGATTGCAGAGTTGTGGGAGTTTATCGACCCATGTCCTCATGTCGGCATCGACGACGACTTGGATGTCAAAGTCCGTCGCACAGGCAAGGCCAATCATCTCTCCGAGCTCCTTGCGCGTAAAGTTGTCAAATCGAGTCACGGGAATAGCAGCGGCCGCGAGGAGAAGCGTCGGCGCCGCGGACGCGCACCCGGCGCAAGCACACACCAGCATTCGGGAAAGCATCTTCATGACATGCACTCGCCACTTTTTTACGTAACCGAGCAATGGCACGCCAGAGATTAGGCGCGCGGGCGAGTACACCGAGCACCGAGCACGCCGAAGAGTCCTGGTCGCGACGTGAGGGGTCAGCGTTTCGCGCGGACGAGGAGCATAATAAAGTGCATAATAATATTCTGATACCAAGGGGGGGTGTTGCTCCGCCACTGGCGTCGGCGGCACCCCTGCGTGCGGAGCGGGGTGGTACATCTTACGCAACGTAAATGGCCTACCCCAGCCGTCACACCGACGTCGCACCCAAAACCAAGGGGCGTATCCAACGCCATCGATGGTGACGCGCTTCGCTGGCACGGACTTGTACGCCGCGGCAGCCCCGCGGAGACGAGGCCCGCGCGGTGGAATTTGGTCGACGCCAGAACCACCTCCGATGGGGGCACCGACGGTCAGGCTTACGCCTAGGGGCCATGGAAGGCCACTCCGACCACCAGAGCGGGCTGCCGTGCGTCGGAAGCTTGGGCTCAGAGGTCTCCGCTCCCGGCCCGCGCGTACGTGTTTGGTACTCAAGCCAGCGAAACGGCTAGCCATTCGTCCCAATCCGAGCGCTTGTTTTTGTCACGTATAGCCACCGGGCGTCCCTGGCCGCTAGCCAAAAACCGCACGTTCGGGCGTCCGACGCGTCGGCCATCGGACGCCGTCGCCGGAGCAAGACCCCCCATGCTGGAGCAGCTAGAGATCTTTACGCCAGTGCGACCTCTACCTAGGTACAATAGTATATGTTTAGTTTGTGTTTATTTATTTCTTTACTATTGTACTTCAGCAGATCGATCGACGCGATGTCGGTGCTATCGACGCGACCGCGAACGCGCCCAGATTTGGGACGACAAGAGGCAGCCGCGCCGGCGCTGCCACCGGAGAAGGTCGGAAATGACGCGGTGACTTCGAGCGACGACTTCACACCCGGAGCGTCGATCGTCGGCGCGCTGCCCAACGCGCGGTCCGCGGCGATCCTCGAGGCGCTCGGCGCCCCGCGGGACGTCCGAGACGACGGCCGCGACGACGCGCGCGTCCGACGCCGATGGCCGCGACAACGAGTGCGCGGATGCGACGTCGCCGGGCGGCTCCGCGGCGTCGCTCGCCGACGACGACCGCGACGCGCACTGCGGCCTGCCGCCCTAGCCGTCGACGAACGATGGGCACTGCCGGAGCGAGCCCGCGGCGCGGCTACCTCTGCGACCGCGTCAAGGTGCCGAGCGCGCTGAGTTTGTGCGCCCTCTTCCTCACGGACGTGCCCCAGCTCCACGTCGCGCGCCACCCGGGCGCCTTCGTCGCAAAGGGCCGGACGGCGGCAAGGTCTTCGAGTTCGACCTCAATTTTTGCATGCGCTTTGGGCAACTTCGTCATCTGCGTGCACGCGCACGAACGACGGCCACCGCGACGCGCAACTGAAGTTGAGAAACTGGCTCGTGCGCCGCGCCGTCGGCGGCAACGCCAAGCTCGCCGGGGCCACTACCCTACTTCTCCGGGCCCGACTACTTCGAGGTCGACGGGGACATCGTCGGCTCCATGGGCGTGGCGGATCCTTTCCATCGTCAAGAGCGCGACGTAAGAGCTCGTCCTCGACATCGCCCGCGTCGCCGACCTCCGCTCCCTCCGGGCCGATGTGAACATATCCCGCCGGCGGGATATGTTAGGCGCCACCGTTGCCAAGGCGTGGCTCAGGACCCTCGATACACGAGTAGGCGCCCGAGTTTAAAGGCGACGACCAGGACGCGCGCCGCTCGCCCTGCCCCGCGCCGAGGCTGTTCGCGCGGATCTGGTACGACTCCCGGACCATCGTGGGCTTGCCGTCGCCGCCGCCGCGTTTCTGGCCCCGGCGCCGGCCGTGGCCGCCGCCGTGGCCCTGGCCGCCGCCGTGCTCCTGTCGCCGAGCGGCGTTGTACGCGGCGAGCTCGTCGGCGTAGAGCGGGCCGTCGAGCGACTCGCGGCGTGACGGGGCCAGCTTGGGCTCCGGCGGCGGCGGAAGCGCCTTCCGCTCAGACGGCGGGACCTCGAAGCACCACGCGCTGTGGCAGTCGACTCCC